CACGTCAATAACTTACACAAAACCAATAAAATCCAATCGTGGAACGCACATTGTTCTGTTTTTTAGGAAAACCGAAAAATCGTTACACCATTAACCCTGTCATGTATACTAATTAGGACACAACATGCATGGAGTCGATATATAACTGAGGAAAATATTACACCCGTTCACCTACAAATTCCTTATCACTTCACATTTATCAAGTTTTGTTTTCTTCTTTCAATTTGTGTTGTGGTTTATTTCTGTATTTGGGTCCAAAATCGCATTATTTCCTCTGTTTATAACTCGCTTATAAATGGTTTTATCGTATTTTTTCGCAAAATTTTCACCCCCAAAACAAGTGTAGTAAACATGTAAAGTACAGACGGTCGAAAAACCTGTGACAACTTGAAGTCGATAGACATTATCGATTTGCGGCCCGTGTCTAAAAGCCTGCCCGCTAATCCCGGCATACGAAAGCGTGCCCCCGACCGTGAGGTGAAGATAATCGGTCCACGATTTTGGCGCGAGCCCTCGACCGAGAGCCTCGTGCAGTATTTTTATCCAGAGCTCGCCTGCCGACACGTCAACGTACGGTTTTAAATTTCCGGGCCCACAAAAGAATTCCATGCCGCCATGCGGCTCGGTAATTAGCGAGTCCATGCGGACGATAATGCCCCTCTTTGCCTGCGACTGCCCCTCGAAGGAGTGGCCGCTTCCCCGGGCGGCAACGGTCAGCTCCGATGTGGGGCCCATCTCGAAAACGTGTTTAACGACCTGAGAAATGTCGATGGCCGATTTCGGGAGAAGGACGGCGAGCGGCGTGTGGTTGTGGCGGTTGCCGAAGTCCTTGGCCGCGTGCTCGAGTTCGGACTCGTCGAACGAGAGGCGGCCGTCTAAACGCATCTCCACCGTTCGATTTTTTATTTTATTAATTTTTTTNAACACTTTTTTACAAAAAGGGGCTCAAGAATTTGGACCTCCTAAAAAATCCTATTTGTATACTTTTATACCTTAAAAATTCACCTTCTTGCGGGGATACACTTTGTTAAACAATTAATAAACAAATATGAAAGAGTATTTGTAGTATCGTAGTTAAAATTTGTTCTTCTACCTTAATTCGGACCTCCTAAAAATCCCATTTATACTTTTACCTTAACTGGAAATTCACTCTCTTGTGGATACACTTTGTTAGACAATAAATAAATATGAAAGAGTATTTGTAGTATAGTTAAAATTTGTTCTTCTAGCTTCATATATAATATCATGAGTACATCTAACTTTTTTTTTTAAAAAATATTTTTTATATATCTCGTGTCCAAGGATGTGTTACAGTCCTTTATACGAACCTTGGCCAAGAGAGCTAGTTATAAAGAAATACTAATAAAATTAAAGTAATTTTTTTTATAATATTATTCCTTGTTGATCGTTCATTGATGTGAATGACCAGTTTAGTTATTTGTCCTTGTTTTTATAGCTATTGTGATAGTTATGTGTCAGAGGATGCCTTGAAAAAGTTTTGTTTCCGGCGTTAAAGTATATCTCTCCATATGTTTTTATTAAAAAAAAAAAAAAAAATCTCAAATACAATTTTGCAGTCATGAGGTTCAATACTTCAATTCAGATGAAAAAAGACAGCAAATTAATAATATTTTTATTTGGGAGGCCCCTACCAAGAACCAATTCACAGTTCTTGTATTTTACATATTAGCCTGATTTGCATGTGCAAGATTGGCTGATGTTTTTAAAGCAAATTTTTAAGGGGAAAAAAAAAACTTTTCTTTGATCAAATATTATGATTTGGTTTGTACAATAATATTCATGTGAATCTCAACTCTCAAGAAACCATGCATATAGAATATAAGCACATAAGTGAGGCAAACTGATCATATTTAATCATTCCATGAAATTTGAAATTTAATTTATATCTAAAAATCTATTTTTATGGTCAGGAGAAGATGAATTTAGTGTAAAAATCAAGCAGCTCCCTTTTTTCTCATGTCATCATCAGTCACCAGGTCTCTCTCAAAAATGCGACTTGCAATAATTTCATCGAGTTTATGTGTTGAATATAATGGTTTCAAGATATATGAATTTAATACAAATGACAGTTACTATCATATTTTTTTCAGATAACGACTTATATATCAAGATTTGCATTATTTCATAATTCCATTTTTTTTTTTCTTCCACCTCTTTTTTTTTTCTGATGTTTTGGTCATTTGGTGTTTATCTGGAATAATGTCAGAGGCAACATTGGTTGGCTAGTGATTGTTTTAGTGTAGGGGCCTATGAAAAGGAAAAAAAGAAAAGAAAAAAGAAAAAAACTCAAGCCATTGGGGTAGAAGGTGACGTGTCACTCAACAATAGAATAGAAAGTTCAAAAATTGGGTGGTGGATTTTCTGAAGATGACAGTTTTAATGGAANATATACTCGTCATGACTCATGAATTCATCTTTATTATTTGTTAATTCATTTTTTGCTAAAACATATTCTTTTACTGTAACGGCTTTCTTTGTAAAATATTTTTACCAATACATTATATGAGATGTAAGAACTTGATATTACAAGCTAATTTTCCAAATGTCACTATAAAAGAACAATAGTTTTTCTTTTTTCTAATTTAAAATTATTTATAAATCCTTTTATAAAGAGTCTTCTATAATCTCCAACGATCCAACCACATCTTGCCACATCACTACTATTATTGGTTTCTTCAGCCCTTGACAAGCATATGTGTCAGCTGTTATTTTTGACAGGTGTCACCTTAGTTCATTGTCTCGCGCTTTTTTATTCTGATTTTCTTTCTATTTTATTTTTATGGGGTGGTTAGCTCACATATAAGGTGTAGCATCGAAATTTGAATGGTGCAAACAGTTTATATAATTTGAAGTGATATTTTATCACATTATACTTTGTTCCAAAAAGGCAAATGGACCATAAAGATAAGTGTGTAATGTCAGAAAAGGCTTACATTATTACACTATTTGAATTTTTTTTCGCCTGCAACTAGACACACGTCATGTACACATACGCGGAGGATAACAAAATGTGGGCTCCAGGAAAATTATTTGAGTCAGCTTATTATTGTTTTGGACTTTTTTATAGGCATTTTGATATAAAAATTTGCATAATTATTTAATAATACAAATGAATAACAGTTACGTCTGTCTAGATCTTTCAAACAAAATGAACCGTTAGAAATCTCACCCTGACTCGTTAAAGTTTAGTTACAGATTTTATTTTTTTATGTAATATAAAGATATTTCAATTTAGTTTCATTTATTACTATTCGAGTCTGACTTGTTAATATTAGTAAAACCGTTAAGATTTAGATTTCATTTGTTAATATTGTAAATAAATGAGGTCAACTATTGGCTCGTTTGGTTAAGGGTCGAAATTAGCTTGATTTGATAAAGACTCAAACCGTAGCTCAAGTATCATGAGCTGGAACTCGACCTAATTGGTTTACAACTATATATACTTTACAAAATTAGCGATATTTCGATCATTGATCTTTCAGAAATTAAATGGACATAAGCTTAAAAAATGAATTATAATTACCTAAATTTGTTTTAGTGGCATGATTGGTGAATGATATACAGTCGAGAGACTCTTGGGTTTTTTGTACCCAAGAAAAGAAAGAGACTCTTGGGTTTTCGACACGTAATATGCACATATCGGGCTAATCTATTTCCAAAAGCTGATAAATCATTAGTCACTATTAAATCAAGAAAAATATATTTTGAATTCAACTGTCTAATTAATATAGTGTACTAATTAATATTGCAGTCCCCTATTTATTCGAAAAACTTTCTTATATCAAGCTTTTACAAAATTAGATTTTTAGAAAAAAAGTTATTTAAATTGCTATTTACCAAACAAAAAGCTATTTAATTCACGTAATTCGTCCCAAAAAAGCTAATTATCAAACAAGATCATCATTATTTTTTATAATTGCTTACATATGACAATCCATGAGGATTTAGGTTTGCCTAATAATATAATTCCCACAAGCATTCACATGTTAAGTTTTTAGGAATACTTTTGTTATTCCTAATTGATTTTAATTTAGCGTGAATAAGAATAATGATAACAATAAAAAACAAATATTCAAAATTAGCAGTATTTTATCTTGATCAAATTCATCAAAATATGGATCACCAATACCAACAAGTTATGAACTGATTGCAACCGATTTTTGTCAATAGTGACGACTTACATGAATATCTATCATATGAAGAGAGCTTAAAAAAGTTCCTATGAAAATGGCTTTTTAAAGCACGCTTCACAAAATATGTCCTCCTCACGATTAATGACTTGCTATTTTTCAACACTTCAATTCTTTTTATTTTTATTTTGACCACTTAATTATATCATATCTTAGAAAAGAATATTATGATGCGAGCACAAATCATAGGGTGGGTTTGGTCATCATTCCAAAAAGGCGACCATCAAGTTTAAAATCAGTACATATAAAGTTCTATAAATTAAATAAATAAGAAATTATTAATTTATTATTTATCACATATTATAAATAAAAATAATATTCTCTCCTATTTTTAATAAATGTCGTTTTGAGAAGTTGCACAGTAATTAAGATTTTTTTTTTTTTGCAAATAATAACCCGCGTTAATGAAGATAGAGATGGATGTTTTGAGAAAAGATGAACAGTGAATATGAAAAGACGTAGTGTATTTATTAGCTAGATGAAGGTAATAATGAAAAATATGTACAAAAGATCCAAAACATCATGTATTTAGTTAATTGTTGATAAAGCCAAAATGACATTTAAAAAAAATAGGAGGTAGTAATATTTTATAAATTTAAAAATATAAGTAAATAAACACCACACAAGACCATCAAAGATATCGAGCACAATTCAAATCACAACCTAGTCACTCGTAAGGCTAAGTACGAGACTTAGAAAATTTGGAATCGTTCTGGAAACCGAACCTAAATTCTCTGAACTAATAATGACCATTGAACTTTTGACTTTTTTTTTTAACCGAATAAAAAAATAGTTGGTACTGTTCTTGATATTTCACAATATCCGACTGTTTGTCTCATTTTTGTTGCATTTTTCGTGCTTGTTCTGCTTTTCTTTTTCCCCCGTTTTAGGTTGTTTCTTCCGTTTTCAGTCCGTTTTGTGTTTTATTGCATGTTTTTCTTTATTTTGAGTCTGTATATGTTTTCGTTGGTGTGTCGTTGTTTTCTTCGGGTTTTTGTCGTTTATGGTGTGCAGGTCGGGAGCTTCGGGCAGATATTCTTTTCAGGAAAAAAATGGTTTGGAGAGCATAATTGAATAGAAGGTTCGTTGGTGACGCGTAGCAAAATATGGAACTCAATTCTGAGTTCGGACGAGCCCGAAACGTAAAGTCATGCAGTGCAGCCAAAGTCGCGGCTCGCAGCCAAAGTCGCGACTCGCGAGCGCCTTGTCGCGACTCGCGAGCGCCTTGTCGCGACTCGCGAGCGCCTAGTCGCGACCCGCGACTTTAATAGAGCCTCCGTCGCGACTCACGAGCGCCCGGTCGTGACTCGCGAGTGCCCAGTCGCGACCTGCGACTTTAACAGAGCCTCCGTCGCGACTCGCGACTTTTCCTATTTTTTATTTTTTCCCGTTTTTGCTCGGTTTTTCTAGCTTTATATATTGGGACGAACCCCCAGACATGAAGGACGACCCCTAAACTCGTTTTTCTCCATTCTCCTACCCTAGAACACAAACTTGGATCTTGAATTTCTTCTCAATTTTCTCGGATTAATCTTGTATCTCGGATTCAACTTTCAATTTTGTTTTAATCGTAAGTTTTTCTATTCATTTAATCCATGAATATGATTGCTTCGATTGTTGTGAATGATTTTGTTGAATTCCATATGAGTAGCTAATTCGATTCGCTAGGGATAG